CTGCTTCTTCTCCCCCGCCTGAAAGTAGCTTTCTCCTCTCCCTTTGCTTTCCCTGAGCAAGAAGCTCCAGAGTTCTCCCTCTGTGCCTGGAAAGTGGCAGAGAGAAATGACTGCTGGTTGCACTTCAACTCCCTGACTTGCCAAGCAGGGTCTGGAGCACAGCAGAGCACAGTTTTGGGTTGCAAAGCCAGCCTGGGATGCCCCAGGTTAGGCAGAGAGGATGCAGCTTCTCCCTTCAGGGTTCCATCCCTGCCCGAGGGGCTGCTGGACTGCTCTACCTTTCCCCCCCCCCTGCCAGTCTCCGAGCAGCAGGTTCTGGGCTCAGGAAAATGTGTCAGGAAAGAAGCCAGAGCTTCATTGAAGACAGCGCAGCCTCATTCAGGCAGCTGAGTTGCAGGCCTTTGGCAGCAGCTCCCTGGCTGTAAATCTCCAGCCAGGACAGGATGAACGTGACTCTCTGAGTCCTCTCATCTGCTGTGGCCTGTCCCCACTCTGTCTGTGGAGAGAATTGCCTGCATCCCTCAGGGTTCCACTGCAGCAACCTTGACTGGGCAGGCACCATCGGCCAGGCAGGACACAGGCAAAATGCCACCCTGCCTGGGAACCCGATTGTCCTGGCACTGTACTCTTAGTTGTCCTGCTCTCCCCTGGTGATTCTCTAAGGCTCCAGCTCCTTCCTGCTCCCACAGGGGTGGTGACTGCGTGGGTTTGACTCCAGCACAGCCACCACTTGTTTCGCTGGTGTCGGAGTTCCTCTCCTGCTGTGAGGATCCCTCCTCTAGGGAAGAGGGATGAGCAAAGGGATGCACTCGGACAGACTGCTCTCCTGCCATCCTAGGAGGCAGGGGCTTGAATCTAGAGCTGGTGATGGTGTGCTCCGTTGTGCCTGGCAGACACAAGCTCTGATGTGGCCTCATGAGGGTCCATGAGACCTTACTCAGTCAAGTCAGGGGGAGACTGAGCTCCCTCTTCTCCCAGCCCCACACAGAGCCCCCATTTCTCAGCACCGTGCATCAGGGTGCACCATGTTAAATCAGAGCAGTTCCTCACCTGATGCAAGTAAATGCTGAGATGTGCACTGCACAGCCCTGAGCTTCATCTGCTTGGGCTAGTGCTGGAGCACCTAAAAGGCCACGACATCAGCCAGGTGTGTTCTTGCTTTCCCTGTGTCTCCCTGCCAGGAGTCATTGGGAAGGAGATTGCAAGCAAAGGCAAGGTGAACAGGGACATGGTGGTCTCTAGGCCCAAGGGGCTGCATCTCAGCTAAAAAGAGCCTCAGGGTCACAAAGGAAAGGGGGCTGGTGAGCATGTGCTGTTTGCTTGCTGCACCTTCTGTGCAAGCCACAAAGTGGCTGGACAGTTCCCTGTGACTCTGGTGGAAAGTGGCTGTCTCCCTCATCTCACACCAAGAATCACCCTGTCTTTCTTTGTCCCTGTCTTACAGCAACCACTGCCGATCGGTTCTACAGGATAGACCGTGCACAGGTGAGTGCAGCCTCATCCTCCGCTGTCACCCCTCTCGCATCTGCTGGGAGACATTCATGCAGACGAACAGACAGGGACACGTAGGTCTCATGCTGCTGCCCTGCCTTGTGACATCCCCTGAGGGGCAGCATGATGAGCCTAGCCTGGGACCTCCAGGTTCCTGTGGAAAAGGGAATAAGCATGTGTGCGAGCGTAGAAGCTTGGTTTGGAAGTTGCCTGCAAGGGCCTACAGTGGAGCAGGTAAGGAATAGTAATGTAGCAAGGCTGGCCAGGGGACCCACCGACTGGGGCCATCTTCACCAGTGTTAAATAATTTGCCTAATGATCCGGAGAGGAGGATGTGGAGATGGGCTGTAAGGGTCATCTACTAAGTTGGCAAGAGACAGGAAGCCTGAAAAGGACAAGGCAAAGCAGAGGCTTCCCAGGGAGGTCCCAGGACTCTTTGAGCATCCATTGCTCTTCATCGTGCTACAAGACATGGGCTGTGAGGGGATGGAGCTGTGCAGAAATAGATCTTGCTTCTGAGGGCGCCTGTCTTGTGTCTTTCAGGAGCACCTCAACTATGTGACAGAGATCTCTCAGGACGAGCTCTATGTGCTGGACCCAGAGCTAGTGATTACCCAGACTGTGGGCACCTCTCCTGCCATGCCTGACCTCGTCGACTCATCTGCTACACCCACTGGGCACCATTTTGCATTCCCCTCCTCTTCCTCCTCTCCACCCTCCTCTCCTGCCCCCAGGTGAGTCTAGAATGGGGGTGCTGGACCTCAGGAAGGATGGACAGTGATGGGAGAGCCAGGGTTGGCTTCATAGCATTGATCCCAGGGCCAGATTATGGCGTGGTCCCTGGAAGTGAGCAGGAAGTCAGTGCTGAGGTAGACCAAGGGGCAAGATGCCATCCTGTCTTCCCTTCTTCTCTGCCAGTGCTGCTAGAAGAAGTAGGGCATCACCAGGTGACTCAGCTGTGGGGTCAAGCTCCAGTGCCTGGCCCGTGGGCAAGAGGGTATGGGTGTCTTTTGGCCCAACAGATGGCAACCTCAGGTACGGGTGAGCAGCGGAGCTGGGGGCAGTAGGAGAAGTGGGAGCTGGGGTCGGGGAGAACCCAGATGTGGGCAGAAGCAGATGGCATGTCCAAAGAGCAGCAAAGTCCCTTGGCCTGCCTCTCCTCCTGCCTGCTGGAGCAGTGCCATGGGCAGGCTTCTCCACAGCCATCCCTCTAACTGCAGCGTGCCATTTTGGACGATCTGCTGCCAGGACTGGCAGGGTTAGTTACACCTTTTCTCCTTCCCTTCCAGCACTGAGCCTGAGCACTGCCTCCCACACAAAGGTGAGTCCTGTCCCACCCCCTTTCACACACCCTCTCAAGTCACGCTGTTTACCGTCACCGCTACGTTTTTTTTTGGCCTGTCCTTTGTGTGGAGACTTTTACTCGGTGTGCAGGCAGGAGCCCTGCTACCCATGTGCTGTGTGGGAGTGTGGAGCCCTGGGGGTGGGTGACCCCAGAAGTGGGCAGGAGAGACCGGACAGTGGTTTGTGAAGCTGTCTGGCCAGGCTCTGCCGTGTGGGAAATGACATGGCAAGGGGTTAATCCTCCACCTGGACGCAGAGCAATGTGGGCTGGGTTGGGGGGCTGTCTCTGCCAAGGCTGGAGGGAGGTGGGAACACAAGGTCAGGGGCCTCACCAAGCTGAGCAAATGGAAAGAGTTTCCTGGAGCTTGAGCAGAGCCCAGTGCCTGGAAGTGTGAGTGAGTCATGGGTGAGAGGCGTCTCGGCCGCTGGCTGATGCCCAGGAGATCTGCTCCCTGCTTCTCTCAGGGCAGAGACTGCTCCCCCTGCACATGTACCTCCCTGGGGCTGGGGGCTGCCTTTGCCACCAGCTCTGTGGTGTCTCCTTCCTTCCCCTGGCTTGTCCCTTACATGCCTCAAGGTGGAAGAGCCACGTAAAACCAGTCTGACCGAGGAGTGATCACCCGGAGAAGCTCATTCTGTACCCTCAGCTTACTGCTCTGCGCCTCCACTGCCCAACCCTTGGCTCCAGGATTAGATAAATGGCATTACAGCTTGACTTTTCTGACCCTGACCTATCTCCCTTTCTCTGCAGACGACCTTCTGATAGACGCTGCCAAAAGCGGCAACTTCAGCAAGGTAGGCAGGCACTCCGGCTGCCCTCTGCGATGAGCAGCCAGGGCTGGCTCCGGGCAGCCTCCCCGCAGCCCGCTTGCCTGGCATGCCCCTTGGGCTGTGAGAAGCCCTGCCAGCCACACTCTGTGACTGCTGTGGAGCAGCTTCTTTTAAGGGCTTTCCTCCAGGAGTGATGGCTGGAAACCAGGCAGGCTCCTGGCCATAAGACCTGTTCCTCTTCTGTGGGACACAAAGGGAAGGGACTTGGTGGCATGGCTGAGCTGGACAGTGCTCCCTGCCAGGCCCTGGATATCCACACAACCTGCTGGGCACCCTGGGGACGTGATGTTGGGACTTGGGCTTGGGCTGAGAAAAAAGCAACTCACCCTGAGCACTCTGGCAATTCCTTAGTTCCAAGAGCTGCACCGGACTGGAAGAGACCTGATGGTGCGAGACTCCTCGGGCCAGACCGTCCTGCACCATGCTGTCAAATCAGGGAGCAAGGACATCGTCAAATACATCATTGACAACGGTGAGCTGGGGCCAGAGGGCCACCCTTGGCAAAGGAGCTGAAAAAGCCCAGCCCCTTGCTCAGATGGGGTGTTCCTGGGCTTGGATCCCTTCTCTCCAGGTTTTCTGCATCCTCCCTCTGGTGTATGGGCTCTCTTTGGCAGCTGTCTGCCAGAACTGGAGTGTGCTCATGGCTGGTGGTGGATCCCTGGAGGGACCAGCATGTCTCTGGGACTTCTCAGTGTCCTTCCTTCGGGGGCGGTTGCCTTTTTGTTTTGGGCACCTGCCACTGAAATGCAGGCTGCTTTATTTTTATTCAGATATTTCTCTGTATTGAGTCCACAATAAATCTTCTTCCATGATCTCAGCTGGGCTCAGATGCCACAGCTGGCCCGAGTGCTTTGGAGCCAGGACCTTTGGAGGCAGCACGGATATAGCAGCCCCTGTGGAAAGATGCAGAGTGCGACTGGGGAGTAGGTGGGTTTGCCTCTGCCCTGCAACTGAGTCTCACTCACCCTGCACTGTCTTTCTCTCCACAGCCCCTTCAGAAATCCTCGATGCCACAGAGGAGGAGAAGTAAGTTGCTGACTGACTTGGATTACCTGTTGGCCAGACCCTCTGCAAGGTGACCAGTTATCTGGGCACTTACCAGCTGCCCTCGCCCTAATTATGAGCCATAATTCCCAGTCTGCTCTGGACTGACTGTCCCCAAGTAGCATCCCCTTCTCTGCCAGGGCTGCCTGGACAAGCACATAACCTACTATCAGCTCCTGCTGCCTCTGAATTGCCATCCCTTGCTGCCACCCACATGTGTTGCTTGTCCCCGCTCAAGGGGGGACATCTCACATCTCCCGCTTTCTCCTCTCCAGCGGCGAAACCAGCTTGCACCAGGCTGCAGCCTTACGCCAGCGCACTATCTGCCACTACATCGTGGAGGCCGGGGCTTCGCTCATGAAGACGGACCTGCAGGTGACAGCGGGAGGGCTCACAGTGGGGCTTTCTAGGAGGACAGGCAGGCTGGCAGGAGCCCAGCCAGCAGGAGAGCAGAGCAAAGCTGCTTTGGTTGGCCAGAAAGAAGCTGACACAAAGCACCCCTGCTTGCCCAGTGGAGCCCAGCTGCAGAGGGGTTAAATCCGTCTCCTCCCTGTGCTTCTCTCCCTGTTGTTTTATTAAATTAGAGGCAAGGAGCTGGAATGTCTCATCCCAGTCTCCCCCTTCCCACCCTCTGGGGTCAGAGCAAGGACATTCTCACTGCAAGCTCCCTCCCAGCTGCAGGGCTCCCCCCACTCTCCCCCGCAGGCGGCTGAGATGGGAGCATGGGGAGCAGCTCTTGGTCCCACGGGGAGCAGGGAAAGGTAGCGTCTCGCATGCTGAGTTAATTGAGACGTGCCTTGGTGCCGAGGAGTTATGCCAGCCCTGGCAGAGGACTCATGGGAAGGGGGCTTGAGGCTGTGTGTTGGTACAGGAGGTTCCTGGGGCTAGCATGCGGCAGAGGGGATATGGCCACATCTGTTTGGCGAAGGCTCATAGCAATGGGCTGTAGTGGAGGAAGAAGTAGTGGAGGAAGTACCAGAACCCAAGAAGGTGCAATCTGCAGGTCTGGGACACAGGGTAGGAGCCCAGCCAAGGGAGTGCAAACTTGCTGGGGCTGGTGGAGCTTGGGGACTGCTTTAGACAATGCACAGCCTGGTTGCCAGATGTCAAGGAGATGCTGTAGAGACAATTTCTGGCTCCCCATCGTTCCTCCTCAGTCCTGGCTAAGGCTTGGGCCTTGCACAGTGCCCAGATGGGGGCTGGCCTGCCTGGAGACCTCGCCAGCAGAGGCAGGGGGAAAGGGCAGCTCTGAGGGCATGGTTCCTCTCTGCCCTCAGCCCCCTCCTCTGGCTGAAGGAGGCGAGCAGCCCCCGCCCTGCCGCCACAAAAGGGAGCCCTGCTCAGGCACGACTGCTGCCCCAGGGAACGGGCTTTGCATGTGCCTGCGTGAACTCCTGTCCGGGTTTGTAGCTCTCTGGGGACCCCTCTGCGCCACTGA